AATTAATATATTTTTCTATTTACTTAGTCCCACCTACCATAAGTAATTCTTAATTTATAAAGAAATAAATTAACTCTCATTTAATCTTATTAAGTCAAATCTCACATACTATAATTATTTCCTAATTCATGGAAGAATTAATTAATTTTTATTTAATTTTACTAAATGGAAAAATTAATTTTACTAAATGGAAAAATTAGTTATATCAGCACTTAATTGACGGAAAGACGAAATTAGTGCTAAAAATCGAAGTTGAAAGACATTTTTGGTATTTTTTGAAGTTTAATGATGAATTGATTCAAAAATAAAAGTCAAGGGACTAATTTAGGTATTTAACCTAAAAAAAAGTTAACCATGTCATCATCACCACCCAATTAATCCTTAAATAGAAAAAATAAAAAGTTAAAAGTTTACATTCTTAAATAGAAAAAGTTAAAAGTTCACATTTTTATTTAGAAAAAAATAAAAATTAACATTTTTATTTAAAATTTGATAAAATTAACAATTTTTAAATAAAAAAAGTACAAAATTGATATTTTTATTTACACTTTTACTCAAGAATTTTGGATTTATTAAACATGGAGGGAGCCAGTAAGTGGACTTTTCTGCTCACTGAATTTAGTGAAGGGAACCGGGGCACGGCCAAAGAAACATGGAGAATAATTTGTCTTTTTTATTTTTTATTTTTTATTTTTAAGGAAAAGAAACTCTTTCTCTGTTTGGTTTTACAGAAGAAGAAAAAGATGGTAACAAAGGAGGAAGGGGATCAAAAATGATAATGTGAAGCGTACGACTGTCCTCATCAATCGGCATTGGACATGGTCCTGTCGTCCTGAGCCTTTATTTCTGGGAATATCCCTTTTAGATGCTCTATCAAATGGGAAAAAGCCTAAAAATAGCTCCTTACCTTAATAAGTTAGACGGTTTTAGCCCTCATCTTATAATATAACAGTTTTAGCCCTTAACCTATAAGAATGAGAGAAAATGGCCCTTATTTGTAACTTCCGTCGTACGTTCGTCACCTTTGTCACTTTTTCCGTTATATTTCCGTTAACTTTGTCCTGCTTATATAATAAATAAAAAATGGGAAAGCTTCTCCAAGATGCCTGATGTTTTTTTTTTTTGGGAATTCCAACCTTTTTTTTTTGAGAATTCTAACTTTTTTTTTTACCTTTATTTTTAAAGATG